AGCTGCTAATACGTTAGGGAATGAGGCTTAAAGAATTCAGTTGATTTATTATTTAGGTGTCTGTAGATAGCAATAAGAGAGATGGTAAGTTTTGAACTTGGTAAAGAAATACAGAAAGATGTTCTGCGTTACCCAGGAGAGTTAACTCTTTGTTAGCTCTTTGAGAAAAACTTTTAACATAAGAAGTTTTCAGACTAACAATTTATCATCTCCTTTGCTGTATATGTTTTTGTAATCGCCCAATTCTTCTCCTATTTTTGGAAACAAGGAAGAGTAACCTCCATTCAGTAATTAAGTCACGATCATGATAAACATCAGTGGAGCATAACAGTGCGAGTGTGAGGTATAAGGGAGTGACCTATGCATCCCACTGCAAAGAATAAACCTAAAGGATTGGGCCATTTTTTTGTAATATTTTTTTTTTTTGACGGGGGCCCGCTAAAGTCACGTTCAATTATTTTTCCTTAGTATTGCTCTACGCATCCTTTACTGGGTATAAAAACACGCATAAAAATCAAGAAGTACGACCATGTCTTGTGTTTCTCCACGCAGTTCTTTCTTGCTTTTTTCGTGCCTTACAACAGAACAGAGCACAGTCAGGGCTTCTGTATTTGTTATATATGGAATATTGTGCGCTATTGCTAACTCCATTTTTTTTCGAACGTCTTACAACTCTAGCAATTTGCCAACCAGCAGGAGAGCTAGTACTTTAAAAGTACAATAATTGATATCCACAAGAGGTTAACTGGTACTTGTGTGGGTACTTATTTTAACTTGTACGTGCACGTCAAAACTGACATAGTGATACTGGAAATCAAAGTTAACTAGTTTGTGGACAGCAAGTTTTGAATGAGTTTCCTCTCATGAAAAGAGAATCAGTTAAATCACATGTTAAGTACGAAAAAGTAAACGATTTCATAGAAAACTTCAATTTATGCAAAATTCTTGAATGTACATCAAAAGGACATGACTTGTCACTTGACAACAGTTCGTCGGCCGATTTCCATTCTTATCTAATATTGCATTTGATCATTGGCTAAAATGATGTCTAATGAACCATGTGTTTTGTTCGTTAGACATAAGAGTACCCTCAAATTTCGCCCATAAAAAGCTGACATTAGTCTCAAGCTATTTGTCATGACTGATGTTAGCACTTATTTTAAAGAACGAAAAATAAAGCTTTTTAAATACAAATTAATGTTTGTATGACAATATCGAGAAATTTAGGTAGCAACTTTCTTTTTTTAGTAACTATTCAAATTAGCAACTTTCCAGCATTTTAGGATTCCAATCGGGACAGGCCTAATCTCAGTGAGGTGATGG